GGGAAAAAAGTGCATTAAATCATAAAAGATTGAGAAATAGACTAATTAGAGTATGTAGTGAACTTATTTTGAATGTTATGGCTAATGGATTCATGAAATTAGTTTGTGTATTTAGAAAATAAAGGTACAACTAGTACCATGGAACATATCATTATATATTATGCTCAAATATAATATAAATCAGTTAAACCCTTTAAACCTTATAGTACTTGTGGTCTAGTCAATAATAAATAAGAAAAATGATACTTAATATATATGCTTCCCAAATGACAGTAAGGTTGAATCTTGTCATGAAGAGCATGTTTTTGGTTCTTTATTAAATCAAAAACCTTCACAAATGATAGATTACTATGTCCATACCAAACAATCAAATATTTTATGACTTTAGTAAGTAATAATTAATCATATAACTAAGTAAACAAGAAGGATTTGTCTCTACTCAAGAATATAGGTTCTCTCATAAATAGCAAAATCAAAAAATTATTACATCTTCAAATATAAGTTGTATCATAAAATACAACTTATCAAGCATATCTTCAAATTCATCTTCAATCATCCAAATGAATAACACTTGAAGGTCCTATTTTATCTTGAGATGTTATCTCTACAAAAAATAAAATATTCCATCATTTTTTAAACTTAAAATGTAAACTAAAAAATATATAGACTTTTAATATAAACTCCCCTTGCTCAAATTTATTAACCTCTTTAAGATCCTCATCAACAAGTATAAAGAAAGGTGTTCCTTTCAACCAATTTTGTGTGCAAACAAGTACTTATACTATTTTAGGCATTAGGCAACTATGATAAGGACTAACCACCCTTTCTCCTATGCTAAATGCACATTCTAATGCTATGGTAAAGATGGGAATGGCTAACACCTCCCAAGCCATGTTCACAAGGATAGAAAATCTAGTTGAGTTGACTTTCTATCACTTTAAAACATCAAGCTCAACTGACTTTGTAAAAGGTTCAAGATCTTCTCTCATATATTTATCAAGCTTTGATATATAATCAAATCTACGTCTAATAGCTCTTAGGTAGAAATTCATGCCATGAGGATCATCATCTTCATCATCTAGTTGTGATTCTTGTTGGCTACTTTGAGAACCTTCCTCAACAACTTGATATTTGTTAAGTCAAAAGACGATCTTGGATCCCTTGAACTTAGAGTTTTAATGCTAACAAACAGAATATTTTCATAAAGAGAAATTATCCTCAAAATAATATTTGAGAAATATATTTGAAAACACTTATCAAATGAAGTGTAAGACACAGATCGTCTATAAGATATTGTAAACTTGACAAAACATACAATTTATCTCATATACATTAAATGTTTATTATTTAATGAGGCTAATAACAAAGCCTCTTGCATGCTTCATTCCTTAATAGATTGAAGTAGAAGATCATCTCAGAACTCACAAATCTATTAAAGAGAACAAGATCATACTTTTTGTCAAAACCAAGGACAAAAATCCCTAAAATCACAAAAAAAAAGCAAATAAAGTCATTGTTACTGCTGCGTTGCATTGACATTACTTATACAAGCTCTATTTGATATGAAAAGATGATAAGTAACCTTCTTAATTAAATAGGAGGTACCATTTGGTGAAATACAATTAATGCTTGCATTAATTAAGTCGAATGGTCACCTACCATCATAAGGAAAGACAATGATTGTGAGCTAGACTCAAAGTGTTGCAACGACCTTTTTCTCCAAACTATTATATAAGAAGATTCAAAGTTCAAGAAAGAGAGATTGATCATATAAGAGATATTTTTACATAAAAGATACATCTTTATACAAAAACATGCTCTCTATAAATTTATTTTTTCTTATAAATTTTCATTGCTCTGTACTAGTTATATAACATTTAAGTGAGACAAACACAAGACTTAAGTAACCTTCATAACCATTATTTTAAGGTTGAGCTTGGAGAGGCTTATTTTCAAAAGAATACTTGTTTTGAGACTGAAGAGACATGTTTGAAAAATAATACTTGTTTTGAGCTTAGAGAGATTTGACTGTAAAAGAATACTTGGTTGTTAAGCTTGAAGGAACTTATTGTTAAAATAATACTTGGATAGTTGCTTGAAGATACAAGTCAAAAAATATTTAGGGTTGAGCTAGAAGTGGCTTGTTGAAAGAATACTTGTATCATTGTTTAAAGATAGTGAAACTCAATCTAGTTAGATTAAGAATTAGGTGTAGTCTCGGTGGTTGAGACAAACTAGTATAAAAATACCCAAAGTTCCATTTGATTGCCCATTGTACTCCATCTGATTAGAGTTACTACTTCACTACGAAAAAACATGTGAGTTTTATATACACACTTTTCAACCCCCTCAAGTGTTTATCTTTTCTCCGCAATATTATTCATAAAGTTCTTTCAAAGTTGACAACAATTTTGATTTTAATTGATTAGCCATAACAGATTCAAATATATAGTCAATAAAGTAATTAACAAAATCCAACTTACTCCTACGATTAAGCACAACAACAATCAATAATAAGATATTAATTTCATTAGGGTTTCTCCAATATTTTTCATGCTTACCCTTCATCCTCAATGCCATTATCCTTATGCTCACATCACTACTCTTAGAATATTGTTGAATATTTTTACCAATTCCAACCACCTTTTTCATGTACATATGATTGATGACATAAGAAGAATTATAAATGCGCATGGTAGAGTCATATAACATCTTTAAAAATGGTAGAACTAACCTCACATATTCCCAACCCTTTTCTAATGGCACACTACCATTACCTTTGGCCATTTTTTCAACACCAAATTTCTTATCTTGCCTATCTAGCAAGACAAAAGCATCTTTATACTTCAAGCTTGCCTCTAACATTAAGTAAGTTTAATTCCATTTGGTTTTAACATCAAGGCAAACAAAACCTTTGTAAGAAATTTCCTTTAGCTCAACACAAGCCTTAAATCTAGCAAGTCTAGTTGGAGAAGACTTCACATATTTAACTACATTTTGAATTTTCAAAATTGAAACTTTGATCTCTTTTAAACCATCCTTCACAATCAAGCTTAATATATGTTCACAACAACACATATGGACATGTTCTCCCTTTAAGACAAGACAATTCCATGATAACATTCTCCTTTTAAGGTATTGGACCCCAACATCGTTTGTTGTAGCATTATCGACAATGATACTAAGGACTCGCTTCAACTCCCAATTAGTCAAATAAGCCTTAACATATTTAGCAATGAGTTCTCTTGAATGTTGAGTTGTTTGAGAAAAAATCAAAATTTTCTTTTGACGTTTCTAGTCATTATCAATAAAGTGTGCTATCAAACTCATGTAGTTTAGATTTTAGATTAAAGTCCATGCATTTGTAACTGAACAAACCCTCCTGCACAGCTTTGATAGAAAAAATTTCTTCATTTTTTTCTCTTCATAGAGTTCCTACATTTCATGCCTAGATGTAGTGCGGGATGTGACTTCAAATTGTGGCTGCAAAGACCATGTAAAGTCTTTGAAGTCATCATTTTCCACAAATCAAAAAGGAAGCTCGGACTTTACAAACATCTTCACCAACTTCATTCAAGATGCCTATGGGTCAAATTTAGAAATAATTGGCAAAAGGCCAACACTATCCCCTTCTGTAGTTAATGATGAGAGTTTTTGCCTTTTGAGTGTTTCTCTATGAAGATTTTCTTTGCATCTCATTATATGATTCCTCATACCCCTTATCCCAACCAAATATTTAATTAAATATGCATATTATATACATTTGGCCTTTTTTCCAAAACAAAGTTTTTGTTTAGTAAAATGTTTCCACACATTTGACCGAACTTTACTATATCCAATCAATGATCAATCTATAAAAGAAATATTTTAAAATAAATTGTTCTTAATAATTTTAATGAATTACCAAACAAGGTATTAATTATTATTGTTAGTATCATGAAATAAATTACATTTTTGAGATTGAAATAAACTACACATGTGATATAATTACTAAGCAATGAGAAATATAGACATATGTAGTACCATTTTTTAACTTATATTACTAAGTTTCTTGAGGAAGGTTATCTAATTAGAGTGATATGTAAAAGGAACAATGAAAGAAATAATAAATTTGAAAAGAGTAAGGAAAAATAAGTAAAGAAAATTGCAAATAAAACCCATTATAATATTATATAATTAATTTTAGAATATATTTTTGGTATGTGTATAAAAAAAGATAAAAGTAAGTGATAAAACACACTATTTTGAACACACATTATTTATTGAGTTTAAATTTATTAAAAAATAAAAAAATTGATAAATTTCACATCCTATTTAATAATTCTCTTTTCTATTATTATAATTTTAAATAAATTATAATCAATAAAAAAAATGTATTATTAGCACTCTTTTATGTGCACACTTATATATAACTATAATATAAAGTATATAAATATTTATATATCACCATATGCTACCCATCAATTATATTTATATATAATCGATTATGTACACGTGATTGGTAATATATATATAATTTTATATTTTATATTTTAAAAATAAATAATTTAAAATATAAACAATAAATATAATTATTATAATAAATAAAAAAACTAATAAAAATATTCAATAAATTAATTTTTAATTCAATATAAATTAATTACAATTTATTTTCTTATCACTTCTATTTTATTCCTTTATAAAACAATCTCAACTCTCACTTTTCTTTTTTATATCTATTTTTCTTCTCTTCACTTTTCCCCCCCTATTTCTTTCCTCTTCCAATTTCTACCTTAAAGAATTGTTATTTTAAAAACTAGAAACAATTTTCTTTAATTTTAAACTAACAAACCCTTTCTTAATTTTAAAGCCTATTATTGCCTACCAAAATAATTATTTAATCTACTTTTTTTTAATACAATTTCAGAACTTTGTTCATTTGGATTAAAAAAAACTAAAACGACAAATAAACAGAGTCGTTTCACTCATTTCCCTTGTCTAATGCACCAAGAAGTAGACCCCACTCGTTGCCGCATTTGTACGGCATCTCCGGCCAAAGCCAAAGTAAAAAAAAAGAAGAGAAAAGGCAGCAAAACGCACTGTAACAGCTTCACCCGAAGAAGACCAAGCGCATCATGGACAGCAGAAACGTCGTCGTTTGCGACAACGGAACCGGGGTACTTCTCTTCTCTCTCGAATCTTCGCATTGCAACGGATCTCGCAGAATCCACACTCTTAAAATTTCCTATGCCATTATTATTATTATTATTATTATTGTTAACATTGTTTTGTTTTCATGTAAATGCAGTATGTGAAGTGTGGTTTTGCGGGGGAGAATTTCCCCACATCGGTTTTCCCATGCGTGGTGGGAAGACCAATGCTCCGTTACGAAGAATCACTCACTGAGCAAGAGCTTAAGGTATTCCAATCCCAATCTTTCACTATGAATCCATATTGTGAGAGGTGTTTGTTATTATTATCGTTATTATTATGATGATGTTTATGATTATCGTATATAATTGGATTGGTTCTCTCATCTGTGTTGTGTTGTATTTAGGATATTGTTGTTGGCGAAGGGTGTGCAGATTTGCGGCATCAGCTTGATATATCTTATCCTGTGAACAACGGCATCGTGCAAAACTGGGATGACATGTGTCACGTGTGGGATCATGCGTTTTACAATGAATTGAAGGTGGTTTTCTGGTTCTTAATTCTGAATGTACTTTCAGGTTTCAACTATTGTTGTTTTGTCTGCTGCTAAATTGGTTCTTTTTGACAGATTGATCCTCCGGACTGTAAGATTCTACTCACCGATCCGCCTCTTAATCCTTCCAAGAATCGCGAAAAAATGGTTGGTATACTGATTCCGTTGCCTTATGTTTAATTGGAGTTCACTAACATTGTAGGCGTTTTTTTTACACTGATATCCAATTATAGATTGCTTTATATGGTAAGATTGTTGACTTTTGTAATAATTACTTTACAAATTGTATCTAAAGGTGATTTCTAATTTGTTGATATGTAGTATGAAAATTAAACTCTTAAGTATTTTTAATATTATTGGTTTTTGTGATTTGGCCTGGCAGGTTGAGACAATGTTTGAGAAGTACAATTTTGCTGGAGTGTTTATCCAAATCCAAGCTGTTCTAACATTATATGCTCAAGGTGCTTATAGAGATGAGTGAAGGTTGATGTTTTGTTTTTCTTTGTTATCTAAACCTAATTGTAGTTTACTCCCTGTAACTATTATTTCCTATTTCAGGAACATATGGACTCATTACAACATATAATTATTTAGAAACTGTAGTTGTTTTATACTGTTATAGTTTTATACACTATATTCGGTGAAATTATATGTCAAAATTTGCAAGGAATTTTTTGTGAAATTGGGAGTTTCCTTCATCAATATGTGTTCTCTGGAAAACGTGCTCTTCTTCACTAATATATACTCTCTTTATGCCTTCTTTCAGTTTGCTCTTTAACATTTCTTTACTTGTCACAGGTTTGCTCACTGGATTAGTTATTGACTCAGGTGATGGTGTCACTCATGTGGTAATTAATTTGCTTCTATGCTACTTAACTATTTTGCTGATCCTTATAACGACAATAGGTTTTATGTCTTATTTGTCAAACTATTTTATTATTATTTCTTTGTACATTGCCTTTAATATAGTCAATTTTTACTTCATGTCAGTTATATATGGATGTTATGATGTCAAACCCAATTAGCTTATGCTCTTGTTGATTGTCATAACAAATCCTAGATGAATTGGGTACAGTAACTAAATCAAACACCTGACAAAATCATGTATCTTTCTAAATAATATTGTATCTTATTCTTAACAAGAAATCAAATATTGATACAGAAATGCTATGTTGTGACAGTCTCTATTGCAAAGTTGGTTCTGGATGAGCTTGCTGGATGCAAAACTGTTAGATGCTCATCAGATAATTACCATTCTTGCATTTATGTGGAAATCATATTTGCCTTCTTTCAATCCAGTGCATGAACTTCATCATTAATTTATTTAGCTTTGTTCATATTTATGATTTGGATTGCTAATTTATTAGTTATCAGTATCAATATATAATATATTTTATAAAATAACTTATTCGATGAAAGCTTTAAATTCCATGGTGGATTTGTGAGCTTGTCCTTTAAGTAATTTTGGAAGAGTGTTAAAATTTAACATATTTTTACACTAGTGTTAGTTGATTTGAATACTAAATATATGTATATTGATGTTATAACGAAGAATTTGTTGAAAAAAATCTAAATTAGAATCAGTATTACACCAATAAATAACATTTTCTGGTAATCATCATTTCTTGAAATCTACCATTGATAGAAACTAGAAAGCTTATACCATGTGTATCATTCTCGTATTAGACAATAGATTCCAATCTTCCAAGAGGCAGAATTCCCCTGGAATTACAATTGTAATCAAAAGTCAGTGCTAAGAGACCGCCAAAATAAGTATAATCAAGTACTCTTGATGGCAATCTTGTTCAGGCCTCAGTCTACCAGAAATCTTTCTCCAATTTCTCTTTACCCGTATCCCCTCAAGCTCATTAGTGTAAACTTTGTTTTCCCATTTTCCCCAATGACCCCGTAAATCATACTGATTAAACTGGATCATCAGATTGCAAGAAAATGAAAGAAACTCTATTTAGATACAAAGCATCCAAGCCATACACTAGTTTTGTCGACTGATTTTGACCCTATTTATATATAGGGTTAAAGTTACTGCTAAGACTGAGGTACATTTGAATGGATTCCCCAAATTGTAATGTGCATTTTGACTAAGGATTGTTAGGGTTGAGGATCTTATTCTATACAGGTCCAACAACTGAGCAAGTAGGGCTTGCCTCACAATTCACAATTCTCAAAATGGCCATCTTTGATGCTGTTGCATCGTATGTGTGTGTTGGTCAATGAATTTATACAAGTGTTAATGTATCATGTCCCAACACATCCTCAATGGTTTTTTGCAGTTTGGAAATAATTTAAGATTAATGCAGAGAACTTAAATCAGTTCTTTAAGAGAAAATTATGACTCTCCCCATGGAATTTTCTTGAAGCAAGATTGAAAGGTTGAAATCTGAAGAATAAAAAAATTTCTCCTGAGCAATGAGTTGAAAAATATCCATTATGCCCCTCTATCTTTCATTTTCATCAGAATCAATTTGTGTGGAAGGATCACCATTGTTTCACCAACAGCCATGGTTGCTCTGTCTGCAAGGATTCACTAACCACCACCTGCAAACTGGCATCTGACGGCTCCAGTGGTGGTAGAGGTATAAGTGGGTATTGCATAATATAAATTTCAGTAGACGCGGTCTTCAACTTTTGACCTGGCAGTTCTGACAATGAAATTTTGGTCAGCATGCAAAAAACCCAAAGCTCCATCATCATTGAATACCTATATCCCTCTATGACCAACCTAAGGTTGGTTGGTCTTGGTATCAGTTGTGAGGATTGAGGAATGACTTGGATGAAACCCAATATGCTACAATTCCTTGCTTCTCCATTGTGCCCTTGTCATGACCCTTTTCTTCCTACTTTTCGACCTCTTCTTTTCTACCTAGAAGATTTTCAAAACCTAAATCTTTTGTTTTGTTTTTCCCCCATTCTTCCCCTGTTGTACACCCCAAACAGGCAAAATCTTGTTCTTTCATCACCTTCACATGTGACCCACTCACATCTAACAGAAGGGTTGTGTCTTTTACTGTTTTTGCTTCATCATTTTTGGTTTCTTCTCCACCACAAAGGGTGTGGTTCTTGATTATTGAACCTTTACTTCTACTTTCTAATTTCAAGAATTGCAATGGATCACCATCACACTCAAAATTGCTAACCTTTGAACCAATACCCCCTTCTTTGCTTCCATCAAAGGGGGGTTAACTCTACTTCATTTTTCCAAGAATGTGTCAGGTCACCACCATATTCTGACTTACTACTGCCTTTGGAGTTTTCTACATTTTTCTTGAATCTATCCAGAACTGGGTTGCTAGTCCCATTGTCTTCTGTCAAGCCTTGTTTTTGCTATAGGTGATCAAGATTCTCTTGAAGCTTATTCTTTTCCCTAGTTGTGCTGTGATCTCATTAACAAGTTTCTTGATCTCTAAAACCCCATCAAGTCTCTACTTAATCTCAGATTTTCTGCCACCGCAATTCTAGACTTTCTTTTTCCCTTCTCTTTTCTTGCTTCAAGAATCTTCTAATCAAAGATGTGGAGAATGGCTCCCAGTTTGAATCTAGGTTCTTTTGGCTCCAAAAGTAGAACCAATGCTTTGCCACCCCCTCCATGCTTATGAAAGCATATTACAACTTATAGAAAGAAGGAATTTCTTGTACCTAAAAGAATTTCTCAGCCCTAGCAATCCACCCCAATAGGTCAGGACCCACAAAGACTGGCAGCTTCCCTTTGGCCCAAATATGTGCTTCCTCCATCTCTGGTAACACTAGCTCTCCCTTGAAGATTCGGCAGGTCAGAACAATTTGTTAGGAACCAAGAATTGAAATGAGAAAGAATAGAAGAAGGATTTTATTTCTGGACTGCAAAAAAAAAAAAATATAGGAGAGGTAACTCTCCTCCAAGGGTTTCCCCTTCACAAGGGATTTTTGTTTTCTACTTTCACAAAGAGCTAAAGCTCAATTTACAAATGTAAAGATATGAATCAATTCCCTCCCCTACAGTCATCCTATTTATTTGTCACTGATTCATTGTTACAAACTAATATTCTAACTAACTCCTACTTCCCAAAGTCCTAGCAGAACTGGTGAAATGTTGTGACTTGTGATTCATTGTTTCTATTTTTTATTGAGAAATGGGACCCTCTTGTCTATTTTATTTTTCTGAATGATACACTAATCGATCATCAATCATGAACACAAGCATCTGACCCATGGTTTAAGAGAGCAAAAAGAGGTTAACAAGTTCAGTATTTTGCCGTTGTTATGATACCATTTTTTTTAAAGTATACAATCCAAAACTGTTAATAATGAATGTTTTATCCAGGTTCCAGTTGTTGATGGTTATTCTTTCCCCCATCTAACTAAACGAATGAATGTTGCTGGTCGACATATAACCTCCTATCTTGTTGATTTGCTTTCAAGGAGGGGGTAAGGGCTAATTCATTTCATTTCAGTTGTAATATCAGTGTGATGAAAACATGACTCTTATCTAGTGCATCAATTCTAACTGGAACACAATTTTCTTTCCTTTAAGGTATGCATTAAATAGGACTGCTGATTTTGAGACTGTTAGGGAAATCAAAGAGAAGCTATGCTATATAAGGTTCGCTACAAATCTCAAGCTACAATTGATTTCCTGTGTCCTGTAATCTTTCCTTAGTAGGTACATCTATTTTCCTGCAGTTATGACTATAAGAGGGAATATCAGTTGGGACTTGAAACCACTATCCTTGTTAAGAACTATACTGTAAGTTGATATCTTGAAATCTTTGTGACTTGTTTTGTGTAAATAGTTATTCATTTGATTGGAAATTCTGGTTAAAATGGCTTGCCTGAAGATAGGGGGACAGGAGGCTCATATTCTGCTGATTCTTTTATATGTTTTTAATGTATTTCTTTTCATATGTTTTTCAAGATTCTCTGTAACTGCATTTATACTTTTTGTGCCTTAATGAATGCATGTAATATGCAGTATTTATTATTATTATTATTATTATTATTGTTATTGTTATTATTATTATTATTATTATTATTATTATTATTATTATTATTATTATTATTGTCCACTCACTTGTAGTGCATTTGGTTTAAAGGGAGGAAGGGAGGGTTCCCTTGTTTGTTTTGGTTGGTTGGTCCACAAGAGTATTGGAGGGGAGAGTAAATATGAGTAATATACTGTTAAACCTTATAAGCATTAAGGAAGGGGATCAGAGGTAAAATAAAATCTTAATGCAATTCACCCAGCATAGCCAAAACATTATAAACCACTTTTGCTTGCCTTCATATCCCCCTAATATTGGATATTAATTTTTGAGCTGGGAGAGAAATTGTTAAAGTTAAATTGTGAAAACTGTTATTATTGATTCAAAGAAATGATAATATACGAGATAGAAATATATTTGTACATAACAGCAAACTAGCTAAGGCCCAAGTGCCCACAGCGAACAACTAAGTCCCAAGACCCAACAAACTAAAACCTACAGGGAAAAGGAGGAATACAAAATATAAAGAAAACAGTGACTTGGTTATACTCGTACATTGAAGGGGAGGCTAAAATAGAAAGGGAGAGTTTTGGCCTCCTCATATCCCCTTTCCTTCCTTCTAAATTTCTGAACTAACAAGGTAAGATTAAAAAAATCCTTCCTCTCCTAAGTTCATGTGTGCACAAGGTAATTGTCATTAATATTGTTAGAATATATGAATATATATAATATTATCTTGGTTTTAGAATCTTAGATTGTCCTTTAGGATTAGTCACTTTCCCTAGATCCTCATTATCTCTTAGGATTGGTTACCATATTTTCTTATCTTATGACTTGTTTCCTATTTAGTTAGGATTATGATTAGTATAATTAAGGGTTAGTGCTCTCGGTTTTATGTTACATCATCACATTGTAATACATCACACCATATCAAGTCAATATCATTCTAATAATAGTCTTTTGTCCTTTTCTTCCCTCTATACGTATTGATTTTACCCTTTATGCATTAGCTTCCAGATGGAAGGGTCATTAAAGTAGGCACTGAAAGGTTCCAGGCACCAGAGGCTCTTTTCACTCCGGTAGGTACTTGGTGCCCATTTGACTTGTGTTTTCAACTGTTAAAGTCATGTAGTTAAATGTTTTCATTTTCTCTCTTTGGAAGACGACTCTTCAAAGTTCAAATCCCATCAGTCATTGCGACACAAAAGAAATCTTTTTTTTTGAAACATAACTATAGTATTTCCATGATGTGCCCGTGTAACTCTAGCTAAATTACTCGGTGTATAATTTGCTGGCTTATGATTGGATAGCTTTTCCCCCCTTTCACAGGAACTTATAGATGTAGAAGGTGATGGAATGGCTGACATGGTATTTCGCTGCATTCAGGAAATGGATATTGACAACCGGATGATGGTATGCTACTCCATTTGAATCTATATTCCCTAATATCTCTTCCTTAGTAAAAAAAATGTTGATATCAGTTATCAGTTCATGACTAAATTGCATTGTCATTTGCCACCTGTCCAAATAACTATCATTAAAATATTCCTGTAATTGAAGAAATTATATTTATGGATGAACCACTGCATCTCTAGAGGGTCTTTCCCTTTCTAAAATTTGCACAGAGCACTCCTGCCACTGCTATTGTATTTTGAAATTGTCATGCATTTTATTTATGTTGTGAAGTTTTGTCTTGTAGCTATATCAACACATAGTTTTAAGCGGAGGGAGCACCATGTATCCTGGATTGCCAAGCCGGTAGTTTGTTATTTCTCCTTTACTTTGGCTCTAATTGTCCTTAATCTTTTGTGTTGCTGAATTTTTTAGTTATTATTATATCATACATGTGTTCACACATGTATCAGATGAATCTTATCTCAACCCTTCAGTTTCTTTTTCTGTTAGATCCATGGTACTGTTAATTGAAGTGTATAACAGTATATGTCATATCTGTATGGCTACATATTTGTGATTGCCTATTGTCCATTTTGCAGAATGTTTACATTACCTCCTAGCACATTTTTCTTTGGCTGAAAGTACCTTCTAGAACTCTATTGGTTTTCTAATAACTAATAACTGCGGATTCCTTCACCTGTTGGTTAAATTGATAAACTTTGTATGCAGTTTTAAGCTGGACATATTGCTAAATTTATGTTCTTCCTCTCCCCCCATTTTTCAGATTGGAAAAAGAAATACATGATCGTTATCTTGATGTTGTCCTGAAGGGTAACAGAGATGGATTGAAGGTAGGCTTAGGTTTCTTCTTTTCATTTTACTTCTGCTTGTGTATCCTATATAGCATGTGGATTATTGAAAACACATTTTTCTGTAATTTATGCTTGGTTGTTATTGCTTGTTAATTTAGAAACAACCAACAAGCTTTATCACTTGTTTATTCTTTAATACCTATTATCTAATGGAGTTGCTTATCGGGACAAACTATAGAATACCTCGAGAGAATTGTGTTGTTGGTTGAGTTAAAACTGCAGATATTGACCTGAAAGTAAGGAAAAGGTTGGTGCTCTTTAATTAAATCTGGCCTTCTGGCCCCAATAAATATGTACCGCGTCTTAAATTGTGGGATCCCCATCTCATGGTTTTAAATCTTGATTTTAGCAAAACATCCTCCCTCCCAAATGTCACTAGAAAATTAAAAAAGAATTAAATCTGAAGCATTTGTTTAGTGAGTCCCTCCCTTTATGGATCTATCTCTTTAATTTTTAGTATTTCCTCCAAAAATGATAGCAACATGTAACCTTAAGGAAATACAGGACAGGATTTTCTAAAAGAGAAAGAGAACAGTATGTGGCGTGGATTTGTTTCATGTAACCTAAATCACTAAACCCTAAACATGTAACCTCAAACCCTAAACCCTAAAGTGGACTTATGGTCGGAACACCTTGTAAATAGGATTTAAAATCTTTAATCTATCTCCCAATCTTAGTAAGATTTAGATTTTAACAGCATTGCTGTGTTCATAAGCATAAACTTGAATGTGAAGCTTACTAAAATAATCTAAAAAAACGTATTTTGATAAACTTCTCATGAAACTTATTGTAAAAAGTTAAGTGAACTTGGATGAAGGTTATAATCATGAATTAGGCCAACTCATTGTTCCCTTATTCTCATCTATTCTGTTTTGATGGTGATCAGAAACTACGACTAAGAATTGAGGATCCACCTCGTAGGAAGCACATGGTGTACCTCGGAGGTGCTGTCCTTGCAGGAATAATGAAGGTTTTAGTTAACTGTTAATTTTTTCTTGTTCTCTTTGTATAGCTTATCTTATCTGTCCTTATAGATGTGGACGTTCTTGGCATATTTTATGATCTAAGAAAGTTCAACTCTGTTGGTTAAAACCCAGGATGCACCGGAGTTTTGGATTAACAGGGAAGATTATCTAGAAGAAGGAATTGCTTGTCTAAGCAGGTGTGGCCAGGCATGACTTTGATGATCGCTCTGAAAATGGGAGACTATTTTGGGAAGCAAAAGCGCACCAGAGGCTGAGTGATGAATATTCAAAGCTGTTAAAACTGCCTCCTAAAATAGCTTGCATTAATTGCTGTTGGCCTTGTATAGCTGTCCTCAAGGCTACTGGAGGCTAGTTGTGATTGTATATGCACTCATGTTTTCGTGATAGATACGACAAGAAGTTCTTGTATCGTGTTTTTTGTAACGAGAATTGTTGAATAAAGAATACATTGTAAATTTTATGACTGCTCCATAGCTTGTATTATGGAATACATTACACATCTATGTTGGCTGTGGAAAGATGGCCAACTGATGTATTATATAATTTAGCTGTGCCTGAGGAAAATATTGGAGCTTTGTGTTGAGGAGTAAGATACACGTCTGTCTTTTTTTTAAGTCAATATATAATAATTTCGTCTCTCAAATTGGCAATGTGTTAATTCGGTTGCGTAGTTTAGTTCCCAAGGATTTGTTCGGAATGCTTATGTGTTTTAAGTTTGAAAGTTTTAGATATTGAGATTAATTTTTTTGTTTTAAATTTGTGTGATTTTTATTATTCAAATATATAAATACTTCACTATTTTATTTGGATTTATTTGTTGGTAATTATGGTTGATGACAAATAAGGGAAGGGGAGGTGATAGGGGTTGTAGCGTTGGTAATAATAATAAGAGAAATGTGAGGAACACATCTCTAAACTTTAATTAAATTTTATTAAAAACTATAAACTTTACATTCTATTTAAAGAATCTCATGATTTTGTTGATTTCAATGAATTTTAACTAATAAAAAGGAGTGTGTTAAGATAATTGTGTTGTTAACATTCTTCTTATAATAATGGAAATAAAAATGACAATGATTATAACAATGATGGTTGACTAGTGATGATAATGATAAGTGATAATGATAATGACAATGATGATAATAATGTTTGATAAAAATGATAATGATGACAACATCAATTGCTTAGTTACGACAATAATGGATAAGAAATAATGAAGACAACTAATAGGTAGAGATATTAATTATAGTGTAAACAATGATGATGACCATAGTGGTAGTGACAATAGTGATAATAACTAATGGTTGTGATGGTTATGGTGGCAATGACACTAAAAACAATGAATGTTATGGTATTTACGATAATAATATCAATTATTTGGTAGAGATAATTAATGAGTAGAAGAAAATGGAAACAATCATCAAGTAGAAACAATGGTTATAAAGTGGATAATGATGGTGATCTCCTGTGATAGTGATAATGATAGTGATAATGATGACGAAGAAAAAATAATTAATGATAATGAAAATAATAATAATAGTGATGAAAATACAAAGAAAGATAATTAATAGTGGTAGTGGTGATAACAACTATAATATTTGATTGATAGTAATGATAATAGTCAAATGAAGTACTCTTATAACTAAAAAAAATATACTAAAATGACCTTTTAAATATATATATATATAT